CGGCTTTTTTCTTTTTGCTTATGTGGTGCTGAGGAATTGAACCCAGGACCTCACACATGCAAGGCAAGCGCTCTACCACTGAGCCACCTTCCCAGCCCCCATTAATTACTTTTTACCACTGTTAGCTGAGTTTTTTTTTTCAAGTTGTTATTCAGAACCATAGTCTGTGTCTCTACTTATTCTGTGTTGTCAATCACAGCTTATGAGATTGATTTCTTACATTGTCCTGGTATTTCCGGCTACAATTTTATACACATTAACTATAAATTTATAGCTATATTATAATGAATGGTATTAGTTGGTAGGACAGTAAGAGAGCAAAATATCAGAGTATAGGCATAAATATGAAGATTGAATTTCAGTATAGCCTTGGAACAAAAGCAAACACTAGAACCTATTAAAATAATTGAAGCCAAAAAATAAGGGTTAAGAGGGATTGTTGATGTGAATCAAGAGGTATTTCACTTGTGTGGTAAAATTCATACCTTAGTATCTCTCCTCCATTAAAGAATAATTCCAAGACTGGAACTATAAGTGAATTTGGATAATATGATCATGTCTAGTTTAAATCATTTATATCCCCTCAAATATATGGGATGCTCCCAAAATGAGAGAAAAATAATCCTTCAGAGAAAAGCCAGCAATCATTAACAAGTTACAGAAAATGAGAATTCTTGAAGAGCAATAGAAGTTCTTTAGGATCAAGAAATTTGTTTTAATGTCTGATCTCAGTTCTAAAAATAATGCAACTGCAATGTATACTCACAATAAACATTTGTTGAGTGGTATTGCTGCCAAAAGTAATTGAAAATTTCCCATTTTGGAAATATTCCTCCAGTTTCGCATATATCCATACCTTTCCACCAACATTTACTTACTATCCTTATTTCTTTGTACAGTAAAAATATATTATAAATCAACAAAAAAAATAATAAATAAGTAGTGGCTGATAGAAAAATACATGCTTGTTTTGAAAGATACAGTTAATAAATAAGAAAAGTTATCCTTCCTTTGGGAGCTCCTAGCCAGTTACATAGATCATACATTTCTAGTGTCAAGAAAATTAATTCTCATTGGAAAATTATCTATATAATCCCAAATTCTAAACTGTACAACTCATTAAATAGGAAACACAGATTTGTCCAAAACCGGTAATTTTATATCTGAAAATGATATATACAAAGCATAAATGGACATCAGAATTTTTGTATTAGTTTTTTTACATAAGGAATAAGTGGTTTGTGACTGTTCATGACGCTCCTTCAAGGGAACATTGCCAAACTGAAAGAACAGATATGGAAATAAACACAGTTATTGCTGCAACATATTTTCCCACCTCTTAAGAGCTATTGTAAAGAGATTTCCAAAGCAAAACTAGGACTATTTATTCAGCTATCTGATCATTCCTCAGAAACAAGGAACACTAATTTTTTTTTGTTTTTGTTTTTTTTCTCATCATGTGATTTAATGTATTTATGTTTATGCAGATGTGGTTCTTAATGTGAATGTCAGGGAAGAATCTCCTTCAGAACTAGCTTTTATCTCCTTGATTCTTTCAAACCTGACTCTTCAAAGTGTCTGTAAATAAGAGGCTATGGGAAGACCTGTGGTAGATAATCACTTGATTTCATTGAGAATAAATAGCTATTTTGATTGTGGTTAACAAAAATTTTCTTTTCCACACCACTATGGAATACTATCTGTTTAGGAGTCCTAGGTGTTTTAAAAGTGAAATCAACTTTACTACTAAGGGGGAGGAGACTTTTTGGGAGGAAGGAAAGAAAGAGGGAGAAAACAAGGGAAGGAGTAACACTGTTTAAAATGTACTTAATACCTTATTTAGTTTACTGTAACCCGGCTGTATACCACCCTTGCAATAAAAAACAGCCTATAAATCAAAAAAAGCAACCAAAAAAAACTGCACTGAGAATTTACAGTCATTCTGCTTATACTCTTCCATTTCTTGCTTTTCTATTTCCACAGAGTGCTTCAAATGTCACAATTCTAAGTTTGCTTTCTATGAATGATTCATGTCCAATCTCTTTTTAAGTAATTTGTATTGATACTTCAGCCCAACCTTTGTTAGTGTTTTCCTGATCATTTTCTATTCTTTTTTTGTTTATAAGTTTTTTTTTATTGTGGAAATACCATACAGAGGGGTTACAATTACATGAAAAAGGTAAAGAGTACATTTCTTATCAAGCATTGTTGCCTCCTCCTTTGTTTCACTTACCATCCCTGCCCTCCTATGTGCCTCCCCCCCACCATTTCCTCCTCCTCACTCCCCCTCCCCTGCCAAAGTTGTAAAGTTCATTTTTCGACATAACGACTTGTACATCTCATTGTTGCAATGGGTTCAACTGTATACCTATTTAAACAATAATTTATTTTTTTTCCTTCCCCTCCACAAATTATAACAACATCAAATACAGTGAAAACAGGGGTTATACTGTGGGGCAGAGACATACAAAGCAACAAAGACATCATCTTATACATATGTTAAAAAAATAGCAAGAAAGAAAAACAAATTATTCCTTATCTTGGGGTTCATTTTGCCTAACCTTAACTTGTCTGACCGTTTCTGCTTGTCTCCGACATATATTAGTTATTGCAAATAAGGGAAACCATGGGACCTATGTTTCTTTGGGCTTGGCTTACTTCACTTAATATAATTTTTTCCAAGCCTTTCCATTTCCTAACAAATGGGGAAATGTTATTCTTTCTGATGGAGACATAGAATTCCATTATGTATATATATCACATTTTCTTAATCCATTTATCTACTGAGGGGCATCTGGGTTGGCTCCACATCTTAGCTATGGTAAATAATGCTGCAATAATCATAGTTGTGACATAACGACTTGTACATCTCATTGTTGCAATGGGTCCACTTGTATCCCAATTTAAACAATTTGTTTTTTCCCTTCCCCTCCACAAATTATACCAACATCAAATACAGTGAAAACAGGGGTTATACTCTAGAGGAGGGACATACAAAGCAACAAAGAAATCATCTTATAAATATGTAAGAAAAAATCCCACGAAAGAAAATCCATTTGAGTCTTTATCTTGGGGTTCATTTCGCCTAACATCAACTTATCTGACCTTTCCTGCTTGTCTCAGACATATACTAGTTCTTGAAATAAGGGAAACCATGGGACCTATGTTTTCTTGGTCCTGGCTTACTTCACTTACTATAATTTATTCCAAGTCTTTCCATTTCCTAACAAATGGGGCAATGCAATTCTTTCTGATGGAGGCATAGAATTCCATTGTATATATATATACATACCACATTTTCTTGATCCATTCCTCTACTGAGGGGCATCTGGGTTGCTTCCATATCTTAGCTATGGTAAATAATGCTGCAATAAACATAGTTCTTCTGTAGCTTGTTTGTGATCGTTCGGGTAAATGCCCAAAAGTGGGATTACTGGGTCATAAGGGAGCTTTATGTAGAGTCTTTTGAGGACCCTCCATACTAGTTTCCAAAGTGGTTGAACAAGATTATACTACCACCAACAATGCAGTAAGATTCCCGTCTGGCCACATCCCCACCAAGAGTTCTTGATTATAGCCATTCTAACTGGGATGAGGTGCTATCTCAGTGTTGTTTTGATATGCATTTCTTTTATGGCTAGGGAGGTTGAGCATTTCTTCATGTGTCTATTGGCCATCCTTCTTTCTCATTCAGAGAATTTTCTCTAAAAGTCTTTAGCCCACTTATTTATTGGGCAGTTGTTTCTTTGAGATTTGTTGATGGGGGATTTAAATTTTGGAGTTCCAGGTATATTTTAGATATGAGACCCTTGTCCATTGTATGTCTAGTGAAGATCTTCTCCCAGTCCATGGGCTTTCTATCTATCTTGCTATGTCCTTTGCCATTTTCGTAAAATCATTTCTTCATCATTTCCTCATCATTTTCTATTCTTTTCTTGTCTTTTTGCAGTACTGAGGTTTGACATGTGGCTCCTGGTTCCTGTACTAACCAAGCACTCTCCCCTTGAGCTAAAACTCTGCTCTGTTTTGCAAATATGCTGCACATTTCACTCACACACAGGCTAATATGTGTATAATACATATTATATATATATATATATAGTTCCATATTTTCATTATAGGGATTTTTTTCTATGAAAACATAGCATTGCTTAGGAAATAAGATGAGTGCTATTTGGTTAAGAAAAAAATTGAAAAGTGATATTTGAATACACTGGTCACATCTTTCATCTTAGTCTTCTTGGTCCCCAGTGCTTGGAAATGTCATCAATCTACTGTTATCAGAGTGTCAGACTCAGGCAGAAGCTTTCAGTTAATTTAGTTTTTGCCTGTCTTATAAAAGTCCCCTCTTAGATGGATGAATGTAATACTATATCTAAATCAGCTCCGCCCAAGAAATGCATACTTATGTCCAGGTAAAGTTTTAGACCTAGTTATCATGACAATTGCATAGGTAGGTCTTGGAATACTCTCCTCTCATTAGAACCAGGAAACCTAAGCAGCAGCAGCAACAACAACAACAACAATGCTCCTGAAGAGATTCTAGAATGGTATTTACGATTCCCAGATCTGTAAAACAGGATTTAGCTTGTAGTGGGTAAGGGGCATGAATATGTTCCTCTCCAAAACTTCTAAGAAGTTGCAGAATGTTTTCTTTCTTATTGAGAAAACAAGACATGCACCTACTATGTGTCTGTTAAGCTCGGGATTTTATGAAAAGTGAACACAATATTTCTGTGATTGAAGGGGCCATCATTCTTGAAATAATATCTTAGTATTTTAGAAGCACATATTTTTAATGGGGAAAAATCTTATTATAAGTCATTGGTAAAGTCTAAGCAAATATTATTTTACTTTTTAAGTTCATTTAAAAAGGCTTTCTGCTAGATAGAAATTTGTGTGTTATTCTTTTTTTCCTTTGAGCAAAGTGCTGACATCATATCATCTGTCCAATAACTCTATGGATCTGTGTTCTAATTTGTAATTGCTTCTCTTTCAAGCCTCAACAAAGTATTCCTGGAAACAATGACACCTCTCCAGCTGAGTCAACAAAGGAAGAAACCCAGAACACTACCATCTGTGATTCTCAACATGTAAGTCTACCTTAGAACAGCATTTTGACAATTCTAGTTCATCTCAACCTAAAACATTCTGTTTGAATGTACTATCTAATATTTTAGCATTGTCATTTTAAATGTGAGAAAACAAATGATTAGGTAAGAATATTGGTACTCCAAGAGCAAGATTCCTGGGAAAGTTATGCTGTGAGATGTTACAGACACAGATAGGTAAACACAGGTTCAGAAATATGTGCATTCCACAACCACAACAGGGAAAGTTGTTAAGACGTTAAAGAACAAGCAAACATAAACAGCTATGAGATAGAGTTCTATAGTATTAACCCAATAAAACAAACTTTGCCTTACAGAGAAACCATGCTATAATACGGGAAATTTTTAGTCTTCAAATGAAAGTATGGAATACAGATGGGCTAGAGACTAGACTTAGATTAAGTGGTAGAACACTTGCATGCATGCATGCCCAAGGCACTGGTTCAATCCCCAAACTGTAAAGAATTAAAGAAAATAGGACAATATAAAGTAACCTTTTTCTTGTTGAACTTCAGAAAGAGAGAGTGAAATATAAAGAAAAAAGATGAATTTGGGTGTCTGTGGCTCACGCCTATAATCCTAGCTACTCAAGAGCCTGAGATCTGAGGATCATGGTTCAAAGCCAGCCAGGGTAGGAAAGTTTGTGAGACTCATCTCCAATTAATCATTCAAAAACTGGAAGTGGAGCTGTGGCTCAAGTGGTAGAGCACTTGCCTTGAGCTGTAGAGCTCAGGGGACAGTGCCCTAGCCCAGATTTCAAGCCTCATGACCAGCAAAAAGAAAAACAAAAAGAAAGATGAAACTTGAATGTTTATATTTTACACTCACAATAAGTGTTCTGAAATATTAATTTCTAAATTATACATCTGTCATGACTACATTTAACAAACAACAAATGACAATTATGACTCTGAGTAGATTCCAAGACTGTCTTGCATCCAAAATTCAGATTTTCTGCTGAAACAATTTATGCCTGAAGAAAATCAAGTTGTATCTAAAAGGAGTAAAGAAAACCAGAAAAGAAGTTCACCAATCATCACTACCCTCTGCTGGCTTCCAAAGGATTGAAAAAGAATTAATTTCTCAAAAATTGTCTTAAATCTATATGTAGAGAAACAGATATTCATATCATAAGGGTTAGGAAACAAAGTCCAGTAGAAATAGAATATCTTCTACAACATTCAAGATAAAAAAAAAGAGTCAGAAAAACTTTGGGCAGAAAGGGACATTAGTAGTCAGAAAGAGCAACTTCTTAGAAGCAGGAAATTATCAAAGCAACATGGATAGAGGTCTGGTCAAGTGAATATGTATCCAAAATGTTAACTTGGGACCAGAAAGTGAGAGACGGATTCTCTCCCTTGGAAGTTTGGTTTGAATTTAATACATTACATTTTAACTATTTCGAAATGGGCAAAAAGACATTGTGCTAATTTAAAAAGGGTGGCATAATAGGTAGGTAGGTAGGTAGGTAGATAGATAGATAGATACATAGATAGATAGATAGATAGATAGATAGGTAGATAGAATTTTCTTAAACTTCTTTTTTTTTTAATTTAATTTAATTTTATTTGTGAACATACTGTACAGAGGAGTTACAGTTACATGGGCAGGATAATGCGTACATTTCTTACCAAGCATTGCAGCCTCCTCCTTTGTTTACCCTTCACATCCCTTCCCAGCCTCCCCCCTCCCCCCCTAATCCCAATCCTTCTCCTCCCCCCCCCCCCCCCCCCCCCCCCCCCCCGCACCAACGTTGTAAAGTTCGTTTTGGACATGACAACTTGTACTTCTCATTGTTGCAACAGGTCCACCTGTATCCTTAAACAACTGGTTTTTTCCCCATCTCCTCCACAAGTTATACTGACATCAAATATAGTGAAAGCAGGGGATATACTGTGGGGGAGGGACATACAAAGCAACAAAGAGATAATCTTATAAATGTGTTAGAAACACATGCATGAAAGAAAAAAAACATTAAAATACACATCTAAGGGTTCATTTTCCTGACATCACATTATCTGACCTTTTCCGCTTGACTCATACATATACTAGATATTACAAATAAGGGAAACCATGGGACCTACGGTTCTTTGGGCCTGGCTTACTTCACTTAATATAATTTTTTCCAAGTTTTTCCATTTCCTAACAAATGGGGCAATGTCATTCTTTCTGATGGAGGCACAGAATTCCATTGTGTATATATACCACATTTTCTTGATCCATTCATCTACTGAGGGGCATCTGGGTTGGTTCCATATCTTAGCTATGGTAAATAATGCTGCAATAAACATAGTTGTGCTGGTAGCTTTAGTGTGGTCTTGTTTGTAAACATTTGGGTAAATGCCCAAAAGTGGGATTGCTGGGTCATAGGGGAGCTCTATGTGAAGTCTTTTGAGGAACCTCCATACTGCTTTCCAAAGTGGTTGAACAAGTTTACATTCCCACCAACAATGAAGTAAGGTTCCTTTCTGTCCACATCCCCTCCAGCATCTGTTGTTGTTAGAGTTCTTGATTTTTGCCGTTCTAACTGGAGTGAGGTGATATCTCAATGTTGTTTTGATTTGCATTTCTTTTATGGCTAGGGATGTTGAACATTTCTTCATGTGTCTATTGGCCATCCTTCTTTCTTCTTCAGAGAAGTTTCTCTTTAAGTCTTTCGCCCACTTATTTATTGGGCAGTTGTTTCTTTGAGGATTTGTTGTTGGGTGGTTTAATTTTTTGAGTTCCAAGTATATTTTAGATATGAGACCCTTGTCCGTTGTATGGCTAGTAAAGATCTTCTCACAATCCGTGGGCTTTCTATTGATCTTGCTAGCTATGTCCTTTGCCATGCAGAAGCTCTGCAACTTCATGCAATCCCATTTGTCCAACCTTTCTTTGATTTGTTGTGTTTCCGGGTCTCTATTCAGAAAATTTCAGCCTGAGCCAAGGAGACCTAGGGTTTCTCCTATTCCATCCTGTAATGTTTTCAGAGTGTCTGCTTTGAGTTCAAGGTCTTTGATCCATTTGGAGTTGATTCTGGTGCAGGGTGATATATAAGGATCTAGCTTAAGTTTTCTACATGTAGTTAACCAATTTTCCCAGCACCATTTACTGAAGAGGTTGTCTTTCTTCCATTCTATTGTTTTAGCTCCCTTATCGAAGATTAGATGGCTATAGGTCTGTAGGTTCATTTCTGGGTTTTCAATTCTATTCCATTGGTCCTGAGGTCTGTTCTTATGCCAATACCAAGCTGTTTTGATTACTATGGCTTTATAGTAGAGTTTGAAGTTTGGTATTGATATTCCTCCAGCAGTGTTCTTTCCATTCAGGAGCGTTTTTGCTATTCGGGGTCTTTTATTGTTCCATATGAATTTTTGGATTGCCTCTTCTATTTCCTTGAAGAATGAGGTTGGAATTTGGACAGGTATTGCGTTGAATTTGTAGATAGCCTTGGGAAGTATTGCCATTTTCACGATGTTAATCTTTCCAATCCAGGAGCATGGGAGGTTTTTCCATTTTTTAAGTTCTGTGTTGATTTCCTTTTTCAAGATTTTAAAGTTTTCATCATAGAGGTCCTTCACTTCTTTAGTTAAGTTAATTCCTAGGTATTTTATTTTTTGTGGGGCTATTACAAATGGAGTTGCTTTCCTAATTTCAGCCACACTTTTCTCATTGTTGGCATACAGAAAAGCCATGGATTTTGGGGGGTTAATTTTATAACCTGCTACTTTGCCAAAGTTTTGAATCAGCTTGAGTAATTTGGGAGTGGAGTCTATGGGATTCTTTAAATACAAGATCATGTCATCTGCAAAGAGGGAGAGTTTTATTTCTTCTTTCCCTATTTGGATCCCCTTTATGTCTGCATCTTGTCTTATTACTGTAGCTAGGCATTCTAATACTAGATTGAAGAGAAGTGGAGAGAGTGGGCATCCTTGTCTTGTTCCTGAGTTAAGAGGAAATGGCTTTAGTTTTTCACCATTGAGTATAATGCTGGCTGTAGGTTTGTCATATACAGCCTTTATTGTATTGAGGAATGTTCCATGGATTCCTAATTTTTCCAAAACCTTCATCAGGAAGGGGTGTTGGATCTTGTCGAATGCTTTTTCTGCATCTATTGAGATAACTATGTGGTTCTTATTCTTGCTCCTGTTGATGTGATGAATAATATTAATTGATTTGCGTATATTGAACCAGCTTTGCATCCCTGAAATGAATCCTGTTTGATCGTGGTGTATGATTTTTTGGATGAATTGTTGAAGTCGATTGGCCAAAATTTTGTTGAGAAGTTTTGCATCAATGTTCATCAAAGAAATGGGTCTATAGTTCTCTGTCTTTGATTAGTCCCTGCCTGGTTTTGGGATGAGGGTTATGATGACTTCATAGAATGTGTTCGGTAGTGAGCTTTCTCTTTCAATTTCATTGAAGAGTTGGAGGAGTATTGGTGTGAGCTCTGCTTTGAAGGCTTTGTAAAATTCCGCTGTAAAACCATCTGGTCCTGGACTTTTCTTAGCTGGGAGGTCTCTTATTGCTGTTTCTATTTCAATGCTTGATATGGGCCTGTTAAGGTAGTTTAACTCATCTTGGTTTAGTTTTGGCATGTCAATATTTGCTAGGAAGAGGTCCATTTCTGTCAAGTTCTCAAACTTATTAGCATAAAGTTTTGAGAAGTATTCCCTTATAATGTTCTGAATCTTGGTTGTTTCCGTGGTGATGTTTCCATTCTCATCTCTGAGTTTATTAATTTGCGTGTGTTCTCTTCTTTTTCTGATAAGATTTGCTAAGGGTCTGTCAATTTTGTTAAGTTTTTCGAAGAACCAACTCTTTGTTTTGTTGATTCTTTCTATAGTTTTTTTGGATTCTAATTCATTTAATTCTGATTTAATTTTGATTATTTCTTTCCGTCTACTGGATTGGGGTTTATCTTGCTGCTCTTTTTCAAGGAAGTTTAGATGTGTCATTAAATTGCTAGTTTCAGATCTCTCCAATTTGTTGATGTAGGA